GGGGGGGGGGGGGGGGGGGGGGGGGGGGGGGGGGGGGGGAGAGATTAACCTAAGAATTTATATGCATAACTCATGGACACAGTAGTGTGGTGAAGCCCTGGGGGGAGGGGTGCAGGGTAGAGGGGATCAGTGGGGGGAAAGGGGACATTTGTAATATTTTCAACAATAAAAATACATTTTTAAAAAAAAATTTTTAAAAAAGGATGAAAGAGGTGGGTGCGGTCATGCCTTTGAAGAGATGAGTTTTCTAGAACATTGTAATTGTTAAGAAAAATTATCCCAAAGTAGGAATATAGGCAAAAAGGTGAATATGTAACATTTTTATGTTATACTAGGGCATTGTCCAAAAAACCCACCTAGGAGTCATCTGGCATTTTGGGGAATGAAATTATTTTCCGAACTCTCTAAGTTCCGTTAGACATTTTACAAAAACAGCCGAAATAGTTTGGAAACAAAATGCAAATAGTTGGAGACTTCACTTTTTAAAAAAAGTAAATTTCAGTATTCGTGAGAAGACCTGGGCTGGGATTAAGAAGACAGCATTCTAGGAAGAGGCCATTTGGGATGTACAAATGAAGAACAGGAAGAAAACCAGTTGGGGGGGTGGACCCAATGGGTAGAGTTGATGCCTGAGGGCTGCCATGTAGATTCTCATCTCCCTGCACCCTTCCCCTGGGTGACGCTCAGTCGTGCTTTGGCGTTTGCATTCCTCAGCTCCCTCCCTTTCTTCAAAATCTGGGTATATGTGTGCTTATTTTCATAATTAAAATGAACTTGAATTAATATTGTTTTGAGAATTCGATAACACCTTTGAAGTAACTGAAGGGATCCCAGGATATCACAGAGCCTGAGAGTGCTTGGATTAGGCATAGGTTTGGGGTGTGTGTGTGTGCGCCCGCGGGCACAATCACAGTTGATTGCCAGATTTCCCAATTTGTAAAATGAGGGCCTGTGTGAAATAGCTCCTCAAATCCTTTCGGAAATTAAAACTTACCCTCTTTAAAATAAAATGATGATATTAAAAAGAGAAAAAAAAAAAAGTCTCCCTAACCAAATTACTGTTCCTTATGGATCTGGGAAATCCCGTATCTGTTGGGGTGATCTGGCCCACCTAAGATATACTAGGTAGGCAGGGCAGGTGGCCAGCTCTGGATTTGTCCACCTGGGTTTGAATCTTGGTTCAGCCACTTACTAAAGCCATCTAACCTCTCTGTGCTTCGTATATTTATGGTAAAAAAAAAAAAAAAAAAAAAAAG